GTACATAAATTTGCTTAGTATGTTATAAAAATATCCCTAGACTTTTCCGATGTGTGTATTTGTCATCTCCAAGAAATACATTGGGGCAATTGATTATAAGAAGGGCTACCGACAAGTTGCATTAACCTATCTGTATAGTAGTAATAGTGATGTTACTGAAGCAGTAACAATAATTCTTACTTGTGTCATTTCAATATTTCTAATACAGATCCATGTCTTTCTGTGAGTGCATCTGGCTTCGGCTATCTTTGTACTCTTTCTAAAAGTTTTTTTCTGGTCAGTCTATGATCTAGTATTTCTGTCAGATGTGAGATCTTCTCCAACAGATTTACCTCTTCAATTCAAAGTATTGATCCTTTTGGTGAATAGGAGAATGTTTTTATTGTCGATTTCGTTTTGGATGGAAGTGTTACTACTTTACGATAATTGATCATATCCTGTCCCAGACGTAGGTTACGTATGTTCGGTCGAGTTGTATCTATCTTACATTAACGAGAAGTAAGATTTATTAAGTGATCAGTTGACTGATTTCAACAAGATCATGCTGCTGGAGGAAGGGGAGAAATGTTTCAAACTTTAATTCGAAATATTTATTTTCTTGATGGGTTAGATTTGAGAAATAATACTTTTTTACTCTAACATGTTAATACCTTTCAAAGAAAGCCATTTAAAAGGACATGGTAACACTCCTTTAGAAATTAAAATGAAAAGACCTTCTGACCTTCTTTTTTCTCAATCAGCAGAGATTGTCTCATACTTCAATAGATATTTTTATAGAATTTATATTGCTCTACAAGTGCTTTTCATGAAGGTAATGAAAATTATTTTAATTTGTTTCAGAGTCGGAGTCAGGATCTGGTTCAGGATCAGGAGTGGACGTTGATCCTAATCTTCCATACCCGGGCATCGCACCCATTACCCTACGGTATCTCTCCCAGACCACGAGGCCACGCAGTTGGTGTTTGGCGCTCATCTCGAATCCATATCCTTTTTTATACAAATTATTGAGGTGTTGCAGGGTGTATTACGGAATATTTCACGTTTTTAGATACACACGAGAAGTTTATTCATTACGTACATAAAGAATACAATCAATCACAGTAGAATCTGATGAAATTACTGTTCAATATATCAGAACTGTGAATACACTATTCTCAATGCTCATTTTTAGAACAAAGTTGGCATTGTCAATTCTAAGTGTAACGAATTTCTGCAAATAGACGTAAGGCATTTCTTCATTCAGGATTAACTCAATTGCTTAGTAGAGCTCATTATGAATGAAATTTCATGAACTAATTACACTGAATGCTAATACTTTGATTTTTCTATCTGACTTTAAAACATGTTCATCAAAATCAAGGGCACAAACTCTATTACCATCTAATCAATATAGTTTATTGTATGATTTTCACTATAAAAGAGTTTTACCGCGACAAGTGTTTCACTATTCAATAGCTTCTTCAAGCATAAACTGCTGAAAGTTTATGTTTGAAGAAGTTATTGTATAGCGAAACACGTGTCGCGGTTCTTGTAAAACCCTTCTATAGTGAAAATCATAAAATAAACTATATTGATTAGTTTTTTCAATATGGATTTTCATCAAGTATCGGCCAGTTCTATTCAATATATTACCATTGTTCTAAACAGCTTGGTCAACATCAAACTGCTTCCAAATAAATGTCATCTGTTTCTTGTGTCGGAAAATTTTGATAACCTCTTCAGTTTGACCAACCTGAAAGTAATTGCAATCTCCTCTATAATTTCATGGTTTCCGAATGTATCATTTTCAGTCGTCTTGTTTACGGTTTGATAATAGTGTCTAATCTTTGGTGAAGTATTCAAAAAGTTTTGAAAGTACTTTCAATTACAACTCCGAGTGTATCAAGGTTCAGGTCGAATGGGTTGAAATGAGTTTTTTTATGAATTATGAGCTCAAAAATCTAGTGGAAGTTGCGATACATACTGACAGAATGAGCAAATTATAAACATGCGTGTCTTACTAGCCATGCAAAGGAGGGTGCTGCAAGCAGCTTCATCGGACCCGAACCTATCATTAACATCGTTTCAGGCTTTGCCAAACAAACATTGAACACCTGGATGGAAAGAAGATTTATGTACTTCTGGCAGAATCTTCCAGGAGTGGCTCACTCCAAGGCGTTCAGTCACCCTTTGAAGCTTGATACCAAACAGTTGCTGAACTACAGAAAGGATAAACTACGATGTCTAACAGGCCTTCTTACAGGTCACATTCATTTAAATCATCATATGCAGAGACTCGGACTGTCGGAAGACAGTGTGTGTCACCTCTGCTTGAAAAATAATGAAACAGCAGAGCACCTACTTTGTGTCTGCCTCGCTGGGGACCAAATCACGTTTTTAGAGTTCGGCAGAGCCGTACTCTTACCATTTGACCTGAAAGACCACTCACCATACAAACTAATCGGCTTCATTAGGAAGTTGGGTTTATTTGGCCGAATGAGAATAGGTGTAAGCCACAATAAACCTTTGCGGGTGCCGGTGTAGGGTCGACTAGACCTACTCACTTTGGACCTAACCTAACCTTGCCATACAAGCCATCCATCGAGTCTTAGAGCATCGATCGAACCTGCATCAAGCAATATGGAAATTTCATCTGTGAACTAATTATCCGACTACCAACCGACTTTCGCAATAAAACCACAAACGATAATTTTTCTCGGAATTCAAAAATTGGAGAAAACCCTCTGAATTTACGTTTTTAAATAAACTTAAAAACTTATGAATATGGGATTCAACAAATTGCGAAGGTTTGATTAAATGCATGGAAAATACAAAGCAACAAAAATATTTGTTATTATCAAGAGTAACGTATTCAAAAAACACCTTATTGTGAGAATTTCATTAAACGATTTCACAAAAACGCAACATGCATTTTGCCATACAATGCTCACAATTAGGTGTTTTTTGAATACGTTAGTTTCATGGATTTTCATCAAGTATCGGCAAATTCCATCATATATTATCAAGAGTTCTGTAGAGTCAGAAAAATGTTTAAAGAGAAAGTCAAAGAAGTATATACATATCGTATATACCCAGATTGAGAACAAATTGATAGTTGATCCGAAAAACTTCTGGACATTCGTTCATAATGAGAACATTACTACAGGAATTCCCACAATCTATTGTTAACGCTTCTAGTAGGTTTTTTAAAAATCCTCATTTATTACCTAGTATAGAAGATAACTTGTCAACCACCTTCAAACAAACCTAACTTCGAACTTTAGAGTTCGATAAACATTAGTGTAGAACTAATAACAGAGACAAAAATATTAGAAGCTGGAAAGAAATTTTAAAACAAGATGACCTCAGGTCATCCTTCCTTCGTTTCTAGTGAAAGACTGCCTGAAAGTATCAGTTTATCCCCTACAAACTGGTGAACTAGCAAAGTTTGTACAATACACAAAGATCAAGATCGAAATGAAATCAGTAATCACAGAGCCATCTTAATTCTCAACAACTTTGTCAAACTTCTAGAAACAACGGAGTCCCGCAAGGATTCAATTTTGACCCTGTAGTGTTTTTATTATCTATTAACGATCTGGAAAACTCGTTAACCTGTAACAGATCAATGTTTGCTGACGATTTGAAAAGTATATTCTGAAATTGCGTATATTCTCTCATTCTATGTTCATAACCTTGACCGATTTTGTGCAGTGTTCATTTTCCACATTCATTTTTTCAAACGCATTGTCACGCAGACCATTTTTTTTATTTCTATAACTTTTCGGACACACAAAAAATCCAACACTACTTTCATGAAATATTCTTCGAAATGCTTTTAAAAATAATTCATCTGGCCTCATCACTAGTTTTATTATATTATGTTCAGAAATTTGAATTACGTTCTTCAAGGTATACATATTCGATAACGTAAATATTTATAGTATAAAATGGTTTTCTACGCTCGGATTAATGATTTTGACGGAATGTAGATTCATAAAAATCTCGATATGAAACATAAAGTCGCGAACCCAGGTAGTAGAAAAATAAACAATTGAACAGCTGCAAAAAATTAAACATCATGGGTTTGACTAAGCGAAGGTTATCAGGAAAAATTGTGAATCACATCTTTCATTACATTACATCCGGGACAAAATGAATGCCAGCCATTGGACACTCTAGTTTTTGTTTGTTCGTGAAGGTTTTTTGAAGGGCTCGTAGATCAAAGGTTGAGGTTATCGTACATACCTCTAGTTTGTGCAGGAATGTTTGTTTTTAAAAGGATTTTCAAATGAGGTAGGTACAAGGCGATATAAGGTTCCATTTGTAATTTTGGGGTGCAGCCCCTGCGAGGAAAAAAATTGTAAATACGTAGATATTTTTGTACATATGTGAGTGCCAAAATTTTGATTTTATGTCTTCACTGACTTCGGAAATATTAGCTCGTACAAAGACTTGTCGAGCACCCGGTATATAAACCGATGCTGGTTGATTTAGTTACTAAATGAGTCCCAACTTGAAGTATTTTAAATTGTTGTATATAAATAACTATGGTATTGAAACAACAACAATATTAAATTAGCTAAAAGAACAATTCGTTCGGGCTAGTCTCAACTCCTTACACTGTAGGTTAATGGACTGACACAATACAACTACTTCCCTGGCTAATACCACGGTGGGCGTTGAATTATATCAGACAGGTGTCTGTGCAGGATTCTGCACTGTTATATCTGCATATGCTGTTGGCGATGCAACTGCTGGAATCGATTTTCAATTGTTGGAACACATTTGTTGACCGGTCTCGGGCTGTTCAGCCACTCATTTGTACAAGGTAGTGTCTGAAAACCGAATTCCATTCAGAGTATCATTACTCGAACAAGGCTGAAACGAACGACAAATAACATGTTTGTCATCGCCCCATCTGCCCATGAACGAGGGGACCAACCGCATATCCGAATTTGCCCAATTCCTCGTAGAAGGAAGAAAACTTCACATGAAGTGATTGGGCATACTTGAAAACTAGCTGTGAATCAAATCATCCAAAAGAACAATTCGTTCAGGCCAGTCTCAACTTACAATATTAACAAATCAGAAAGAAGGGGTGATAAAGTATTGCAGTTTTCACTGTTTTGAAATTGAGAAATAAATGAAATTAGTTTCGAATTTCAACACTATCAGTTGAACATTTTTTGTTTTCGTACATTTTAAATATTTAGATATTTTGAAATATTATGACTATTGTTTGGAAAGTTCAAATATTTTGAAACATTTTTGACATATTGCTGCTTATGAAATAGTATGACTGTTATTTAAAAAGTGCATTTGAAAAATAGATTACCATTCATGATCAAAGTGGCTGAACTTAATTATGACTAGAACCTTCAAAATGTGACAGAAATGGTAGTAGATATTGACAACATTTTAAGAGAGAATGAATTTATCAGATAACAAATTGTTGTTCATTGCATTTATATCATTGTTTCATATTATAAACTGTGTCGAACACACTTTTTCCACACCAGAACGAAAGAACCGACTCTGATCGCACATTTTGCTAACTGAGTTGGCATTATCTGGAGATGACTGAAACTTTTATTCATTCTCTGATGCTGCTAACTTCATAAAAATCTAATATTTCAAAAGTTTTGTCGTTTGAGAAATTCATATTCAATGAGCCTTTTTCCTGAGAATAGTACAGCACGAGAGGTAGTACTAGTAGTAGGCACAAATAATAAACTATTCACATGTAGAACAGTGTTATTTACGTAATATTAATTTATTATTTAAAAATATAAATCTGATACAAAAAATTATTTTGTGCTAGTATAATGTCAACAAAGCATTGCTGTTTTGCGAATTGTACGTCGGATAATCGATATCCGGAAGAAGACGTGTTTTTTATACCATTTATAAAACCTCATATTAATGAGGTTAGATGTGAGAAATTGATACATGCTTCGAGGAGAGTGGATTTAACAGTGCAAAAAATAAATAAATGTTATATGTATGCTCTAAACATGAAATGAATAGTAAATTTTTCATAGTTAATTACCATTGATTAGAATGAGATATAACCTCAATCGTTTATTGAATTATATTCAATATAATTTATTTATTTTATTAATTGAGTTTATTTCATTTCCATCTATATTTGATTCATATTTCACTCGGAAATAAGTCTGAAATTCATAATTATTGAAAAAAAATATTCCAGTTTGAATCTATCACTACTCGTTTACTAACCTGTCTATTAATTCACTTTTTTCCAGTTACTTTCAAATTACGGCATGCAAGCCAACGTTTTAATGTTACAACATTGTTATCCTTTACAGTTGCAAATTTTTGTTTTGCTCCAGGAACATTCTCTTCTGTTGAAAA